TGATACCTGAGCCATATTTTGGGGTACCTGGGGCAAACCTGGACACACCTGGAAGTACCTGGGGCACACCTGGGACACAGCTGGGACACACCTGAGCACACCTGGACACACCTGAGCCATATTTTGGGGTACCTGGGATACACCTGGACACACCTGGGGGTATTTCAGACACACCTGGGCACACCTGAGTGATACCTGGACACACCTGAGCACACCTGGACACACCTGGGACACACCTGGACACACCTGGGCACATGTGGGCACAACTGGGAGGGGCTGGGACACACCTGGGGGTACCTGGGACATACCTGGGACACACCTGAGACACACCTGAGCCATATTTTGGGGTAGCTGGGACACACCTTGACACACCTGGGTCACACCTGGACACACTTGGGTCCTACCTGGACACACCTGAGCCATATTTTGGGGTACCCGGGGCAAACCTAGACACACCTGGGCACACCTGGGCACACCTGGGTCATACCTGGACACACCTGGGCACACCTGAGCACACCTGGACACACCTGGGAGAGGCTGGGACACACCTGGGAGTACCTGGGACACACCTGGGCACACCTGGACACACCTGGGCACACCTGGGTCCTACCTGGACACACCTGAGCCATATTTTGGGGTACCTGGGGCACACCTGGACACACCTGGGCACACCTGGGCACACCTGGAGCTCACCTGTCGCCCTCCCCCAGGAGACCGAGGCTCACCTGAGCGCTCACCTGGCGCAGGTGGGCGGGGCCGGCCTCAGCTGCGGGGTGAAGTTGGTGCGCGGGGCTTACCTGGAGCAGGAGCAGGGGCGGGCCCGGGCCCGGGGCTGCCCCTCCCCCACCTGGGACACACCTGAGAAAACCTCGGCCAGGTGGGGGAGGGGCGGAAAGGGGGAGGGGGGGGATGGGGTTAAAATTGGTGAATTTGGGGTGAATTTTGGGTAAAATTTGGATAAAATTTGGGTGAATTTTGGGTGAATTTTGGTTAAATTTGGGCAAATTTTGGGTAAATTTTGGGTTAAATTTGGGTGAATTTTGGGATAAATTTGGGTGAATTTTGGGTAAAATTTGGGTTCATTTTGGGTAAAATTTGGGTTCATTTTGGTTGAATTTGGGTGAATTTTGGGTTAAATTTGGGATAAATTTGGGTTAAATTTTGGGGTAAATTTGGGATAAATTTTGGGTGAATTTTGGGTTAAAATTGGGTCAAATTTGGGTTAAATTTGAGTTAAAATTGGGTAAATTTTGGGTGAATTTTGGGTGAATTTTGGGTGAATTTGGGGTAAATTCGGGGTTAAATTTGGGTAAATTTTGGGTTAAAATTGGGGTAAATTTGGGATAAATTTGGGTGAATTTTGGGTAAAATTTGGGTTCATTTTGGATTAATTTGGGGAATTTTGGGGTAATTTTTGTGT